ATTCACAAACTGTGCAAAGCCTTGACCTTGTCCAGAATATCACAGATTCCAAATGAGAAGCATCCTAATAAACAAAGTTTGGTTTATTCTGGTTTAAAAAAAAAAAGAAAAGAGCCAGCAGTGTCCTGCCAAAGAGCACCGTGCACGTCATAAACGCGGGAGAAAGAAATTCTGCTGATGTTCCCAGGTTTGCATGTACAGCATCGGGCAATGTAAAAGCCCAGCTTTTAAAAATCAGGCCCTGATCCATCAGCTCAAAAGTGGGTGAGTTTCTCTGTAGAAACAACAATCAAGAACGTGAAGAAATTGCTGCCTCTGAAGACATTAGATCCACGTGTTATTGTTCTTGAGTTTCTCATAAGAGGTGGGTGATGTGGGAGCCAGTCACAGCAGCATTGATTCTGGGGAGGACTTTTAAACAAAGAACTTGGAGAAAGCCTCTTGACCTGGGGTACATCCAGTCCCTTCCACGAAAGCATCTGGCCTCCTGAGACACCGCAGTGAAGCTGGGCCCCAGCCAGGTTGGAGAGCGGGCAGCGGAGGAATCAGGACACGATGTGCCTCACTCCTCCAGGCTCGACTCCATGCCGCACTGGCTGAGCTGGCCGAGATGACAGACATCCACATCCCTGAGGAATCGGGACCTGTGCGGAGGGGCACGGGAGGGGAGGACCATCTATTGCTTCGGAGGAAAGGACAACACAGTCAGCGCTGAACACAGTGACACTCTCTGACCACCACTGGCCCGCCCACGCCCCGGCCATGCCCCGGCCACGCCTGAAAGCAAAGCTGGGCACTTCCGGGTTGGGGAATCACCCAGAGCTATGGGGAGCGTGACAAGCTGGGCATGCTCTCTCCTCCCCACTGAGGGTTGCTGCGTGACCTGGGGGCGGGGCTTGTTCCAGGCCTGGCGGGATGGGAAGATGGGAAGGGATCTTGGCTTGGTGCCTAGGCTCTGCCCGTGCCCACAGGAAGGTGGCTCACAGGCTGATTAGTGTGAGTCAAGTTTTCAGCCACCAAGGCAGCCAACCAAGCCCTTCTCTGCTCCACTCACCCATGGACGGTGGCCTTTCCCTGTCCCTGGGCCAGGCCTTGTCACTACCAATGGCAGGCAAGGAAGGAGCCAGCAGGTCGCTGAGGTTCAGCGAACACTGAGCTTCCTGGTGCTGGGGAGGTGGGCTGAATTCCTAAGTTGTGATACCCAGACTCGGGCGGGCTGCGGGCTTCCTGCCCACAGCAGAGAGAAGCAGGAGCCAAGGCCAGCCTCCTGGTTGCCTGGGGTGGCTGGAGGGTGCTCCTTCCTGCCCCCCTGCATCAGGCCACAGGCCACTAGGAGCTGCTGCTGCTCCAGCCTGGAGGGCAGACAGAGCTCGGGGCTACTGCAAACACATGAGCCGGGTGAGGCTTCTGGAATGTGCAGTTCTTTCCAGAAGTAGCCAAGAGGCTGGCCGCAGGGATGCACAGGGCCTTGGGCGGGGCAGGAGCACAAGGAGGGCCTCACGGGGGAGGCATCTGAGCTCAGCTGTGAAGGTGAATTGGGATTCTCAAGGCTGAAAGAGGCACGACAGCCCATTGCAGGGACAGGTGCACGAGGTTGTCAGCACTCAGAGCAGCAGCTCCCGGGGCCTGGGGCCGGGTGCAGGGGCAAGAAGTACCCGCGGGCCACTCTGGGCTAGTGGTGCCGTGGGAGAAGCTGGAAGTTGGGCTCTGGTTCTGCTTCCGCCTGCTTTGGCCTGAAAGCCCTCAGCCTGCTGGAGACTGTGTGTCACGACTTAGGAATTCAGTCCTGACTTAGCAACCCTGCCTCCCCAGTGCGAGGGACAGAGCGAAGCTCAGTGTTGGCTGACCACAGGTGGCCTCATTTAACGCATCACCAATTCTCCCATCTCTGCTGGATCACCCAGTCAACGAGGCAACACACTCTCACTTTGTTTCATTTGTTGTGTATTGCAGACCTTCTCTTGACCTGATTCCCCTGCCAGACACTGCCCATTTCTCTCTCCCTTTCCAGCAAACTCCTCTAAAGGGTCATCTGTGCTTGTTTTCTCCAATCCCATTCTTTTGGTTCTCTCTTAAATCCATGTCAGTCATGCTTTGGGTGACTCCTCGACCTGGAAGTACCCGGCTTTGCTTACAGTCCTGGCTTGCCCATGGGTGATCAGAGAGTATCACTGTGTTCAGCGCTGACTTAAAAAAATGAACAGATACTCAAATTAGCCATGCCTATTATGTGTTCATCCTGTGCTAAGTGTTGGGCTGGGAAGCAGATGGGGAATGCAAAGAACCATGGTCCTGTCCCCCAAGAGCTTGATACGTCCAGTGAGACGACACTGCAGCCTCCAGAACGACATACAAGCAGGATGGAACATACGAGGAAGCCAGTCCAGGATTCATTGGTGGACAAGTGATACAGACATTCAGTGGTCAGAAGCTGAGAGGTCACAGATATGGTTGTGGTCAGAGGGGTTGGAGGACCCTCACGAAGACGGGGAGCTGAGCTCAGCTCTGAAGGGCCAAAGGAAGGAGGACTTCACAGAGAATGGGAGCTGTTGCAACGCGCTCCCTCTGAATCCTCGCACGAAGCTTGTGTGACGATAACAAAGTGTCTGACCCTAGAAATGTCTCTTAACCTCACTGTAATTTCGTCATCTGTTCACTGGGTGGCTTGTTCTATACAACCTACAAAGCCTTTTCCATTTTAAGGACTCTATAATTTTGTGTGCCAAAACGACATTCATTCAATGCTAGGCATTAGGCATTGCAAAAATTTTAAAGATATGTGGCCCTTGCCACAAAGAATTCTCAATCTAATATCAATGGGCCTTGGACTTTAGTTCCCTTAACAACCTTGTGAAGGAGATATAGCAAAGAGTAATGTCATCCCCATTAAAGATGAGGAAACTGAGGTTCAGCGAAGTGCTGAGGATCAAACACAATCCTAGCCTCGGGGAGCTCCCATTCCAGGGATGTGTTCTGATGTAAACAAGAAGCACTATTCTCGGTGACCTCTCACCCTTTGATGTGTCTGTGAGTCAGCCAGGGGGACTCTTGTTATGAATGCAGATTCTGATTTCGTAGGTCTGGAGTGAGGGCTGAGAGTCTGCCTTTCTGATCAGCTCCCAGGTGATGCTGATGCTGCTGCTGGTCTGCAGACCAGACTTTCAGTAGCACAGGGCTCTAGATTCAGACCAGCTCAACCTGCTGACCAGATCATTCAGCAGAGTGCCTGGATCATATTTAGGTCATTCTAGAATCTCTAGATCAGTGCTTCCCAAACCTGGCTGCACATCAGAGTCACATGGCAACTTGTTAAACATGCCCAAAGCTCGATGCCAGAAATTTGATTCCGTAGGGATGGGATCTGGGATTCTGAAGCCCTTTTTCCTTTTAAACAAGTTGTTCAGGTGATTCTGGTGCACAGCCCTTTCAGAAGATGAGGGTCCCACCTGGCCTTCCTGAGACCCTGAGGATGAGCGCTCTCTGCCTTTTCTATTCCTCTGACTCTCTACCTCAACTTTCCATATCCATCTTGTCTGTAACAATGACCTCGAAGCTTCCTTCCATTCACAACTGGACCCAAGTCCCAAGAAAGCCTCAGGGGTGTGATTTGAAGTGTATAAGAAAGGCTGGCATCTGACCCAAAATAAGATTTCTCCCCTACTTTAGCTGGTCTTGATGCCTTCAATTTCTCAGTCTGCAATATAATCCTAAGATCTCAGGGGCTGGGCCAGAATCCTATTTATCTCTGCATCATGGGGCTTACCATGGGGTACAGAGTATAGACCCAAGAAATGGTGGTGGATTTAAATGAATACTTTGAGTTAACCATTGCCCTTTCTTCAAAGGAAAACATCTGGAGAAGAGCCACTTAAATAAGTAGTATCCTGTGGTTTTCCTCTGGGACACAGAGTGGGCCACACCTGAGGACCGTGCGCCTTGGTGGAAGGGAGAGATGGAAATGCGTGAGAAGGGAAGGAGGTGCAGGTCTCTGTAGAGCATTTGCTATGGTGCAAGCACTATTTGCTAAACACTATACAAACATTACGACTCCAGATCTAAACCTGGTTGCTTATCAGAGTCACCTGGCGAATTGACTAACATTACGTATTTTCAGGCCTGGAGCCAACCTGCTGAATCAAAGTCTCTAGCGGCAGAACCCAGGAACTGGTCAAAGCCGCCAGGTGATTTTCGTATCTGGGAAGCACTGCATCACGTGGTTTAACCCTCACAGCAGCCCATTTTACAGATGAGGGCAGAGTTACTTACTTAAGCTACACAGCCAGTAAATAAATGCCAGAGCCAAAGCAAGGAGAAGAAACCAAACATTCTGGTGGCATTTTCACAGGAAGTGAAAATATTCCAAATCCTGGGTGGAGTATGAGCTGATGACGTTGTGCTTTGATTATGCCAGTGTTTCCTTAGGCCACACGGTGAGGCAATGTCCCCATTTAGGGCGTGTGCACCATGTGGACCTCACCCTGCATGCCCCCAAGTGAGTCATTCTCAGTGTTGGAAAACCAGGGACATTGACAACCTGTAAGAGAGTGGCAGCCACCAGAATTCACAGGGAACAACTCTGGCAAAGAGAACGCTGTCCTTTTTCACAGAATAGTTAGATTGGCAGATCAGGGGCATACCTCACACACACACACACACACACCCAAGTGTATGTAATGGTTTCAACAAGGCATTTGATAAAATCTTTCATGACGCCCAAAAGTATAGGTTGGATAACTTGGGTTCAGTAATATTGTAATAAATAGAGCTAGTTAAACTAACATTCCTGAGGAATGTGGACATCAGCTTGGACGGAGGCCTCAAATGTCATGCCCCTGGCTCTATTCTTGCCCTTTCCTTCTTAAGCATTTTATCAATACTGCATTGGGCTAGAATGCGTGTTTGAGGCTTACGGTCAAGATGGTGTAGTGAATTTGTACTTTGAATCACCCGCTCTGTTCCAAACCCACAGTATCTAAAAGGATAAAACAAAATGACATAACAAGCTCAAAAACGAGGTAAATGTCTTTATGAACCAAAGACAGATTAGAAATGTGAAGCCACAGGTCTCCGAGGCTCTGCTCCAGAAGCAGAGCGTGTGGTCCACACCTGCATAGAGACACACGCGACAGGGCCCAGGAACCAGGCTCCACACTGAAGCCTGTTCTGAGAAGGGGTTCCCACTGCTGGAGGAAGAAACTTAAAAATTTCTGCAGCCCTACTGCTTAGGGCTAAGGCTGCAGAGGGCAGCGGGAGGACAATGACACAACCTTTCAGACGGGGATCAAACCGAGTAGCTCTCTTAGTCTGTGTCTCAAACGTCCCCAATGTCACTACAAGAGAGGAGCTCTGCATGCTGTTGCAAGGCCTGGCTCTGGACTGTGCCCAGGGGCCAGGGAGGAGACGAGGCTGGAGTGTGTCTCTCAATCATTCAGCCTTAATGTTGGAGAACAAAGGAGGGGGGGTGGGGGTATTAGAGGAGGGGAAAAGCAACATATAAAATAATTCACTCAAAATGAGCCTGAAAGCAAAACTTCTTACATTTATGAAGAAATATAATGCTAAGAAAGACAGCAAAATAATAATAGTAAAAATCTGGAATATGGGTTCACACCAAAGTCATTTCATTGAACAGCTTGACAATGATTCTACATAAGTATAACTAGGATGCTTAAAGATATAGATTAAGGAATAACGTTCTCTAAAAAGAGAAATTATGAAACAGAAAGATATAAAAATTAAACAATAGCCAGTAGCTAGGGGCAAGAACCAATTAGAAGTCTTGGAAATGAAAAATATAGTCAGTGAAATTAGAATAAAAATATCAATATAGTGGATAATATCTACCATGAACCATTATAAGAGAGAATTAATCAAGTGGAATATAGTAAGGAAGAATTCAACCAGTGCAGCAAGTCAAAGAGATAAAGAAAGAAATAAAAGAGCATCTAGGAGACATGGAGGACACAGTGAGGGGCTGAAATGTGTGTCTACTAAGTGTTGCAGAGAAGAGAATTAAGGAAATCACAGAGGAGAAGCTTTTGAAGAGATGTGTGAAGTTCTTCTAAAATTCATGAAAGACATGAGCGATGAGTGAAAGTAGGGCATTAAGGGCAAATAAAAACAAATCTACACACGTTGTAGTGAAACACTAGAACATACAAGGCAAAGGATAAAATTTAAAAGTCTAACAGAAGGCTAATATTTTTTAAACACTGAGGGAGAACAACAATCAACCTAGAATTTTATGCTCACCTAAACTACCACTCAAGAAAAAGAAAGTGCAAAAGAAAGACAGCTTCAAATATACAAAAACAAAAGGATTTTATCTCCCATAGACCCTCCCCAAAGAACTATCAAAGGATGTCCACCAGCAAAAAGAAAAGTGAACCCCGAGGGCAGGTGTGGGAGACAAGAAACAGCAGTAAGTACACATATGGATACAAGCGGCTGGAAATTTTAATTATTAAATTTTTTACTGAAAAATGATAACTAAAGTTTTTAGGTTTTCTTTTAAACAAAAACTAAAATGCTAGACAAGAGTAACAAGATGGGAGGGCATTCAATGGTTGTTGAAGTGAGCTAAGGTCTAGGCGATGTTTGCCGGGAGTATAGAAATAGTAAATAATTTTAAATGGCATTAGACAATAAGTTAAATGAGTATGTTTAAAAATTAAGGAGAACCACTCCTATTCTATAGAAGAATAGAAATTCAGTCTATAGTCATGGAATCTGCTGAGGAAAAACAGAAAATGGGATGGGAAAAATATATTTTTTCTATCATCAATTCAATAGAAATCAGGAAAGGAAAGCAAGTAAGTGAGATTTTCCAATGTAACAAAATCGTCGTGTTGGATAACAGAATTAAAGAAACAAAGGACTTTGACAGTCTAAAACTGTGAAATGACATTTAAGATGGATATACTAAGACTCAAAAAGTCAACTGTATAATTTCAGTTCACTCAGAATGCTTTGATCTTAGAAAACTGTAAGAGAAATGGGAGATCCAGAACAAGGAAGACCAGAGACCATTGCACACTGCACAGGTCACACAAGACTTTAAAAAGAACACTGACAAACTAGAGTCTTCCCAAAGAATGCAAGTGGAGAGAACCAGAAATGTCTCATGACAAAGAGCTAGTGGAAGGAACTGGGCATATTTAGCCTGGAGAAGGAAAGACTTAGGGTCATGAACGCTGTCTGCATATCTTGGAAGCACATGTCACCTAAAAAAAATTTTATACATATATACACACAAATACACATATATAATATATATACATACATATTTTAACATATTATATTAAAATATAATAATTGTATATGTTTATTACATAAATATATATAGTAATTGATATATTAGACTGATTCTGCATAGCATCAGAGCGTCCAGCTAGGATCATGCATTGACATTACAAAGGTACGTTTTGTTTCCTAACGAGCTCACGTATAAGGTCAGTTAAAGCTACTCAACCTCCCGCTCCCATTTCCCGAGCCTCTTCTCTCACCCAGATCCTGTTGGGTGCTAGGAAACCGAAGACACACATGGTGCAGTTTTTGTCCTCAAGGTGTTCACAATCTAGGAAGGAAAACAAATGGTGCAGAACTAATACAGTGAGGTGAGAGCTTAGACGGATGGATACAGACCACAGTAGGAGCCAGAAGAGGGGGGAGGTCATTTCGTCTCCAAAGATGGAAGAGAAGGTCCACAAAGAAAGTGACCTGGGGGCCGGCCCCGTGGCTTAGCGGTTAAGTGCGCACGCTCCGCTACCGGCGGCCCAGGTTCGGATCCCGGGCGCGCACCGACACACTGCTTCTCCGGCCACGCTGAGGCCACGTCCCACATACAGCAACTAGAAGGATGTGCAACTATGACATACAACTATCTACTGGGGCTTTGGGGAAAAAAAGGAGGAGGATTGGCAATGGATGTTAGCCCAGGGCCAGTCTTCCTCAGCAAAAAGAGGAGGATTAGCACGGATGTTAGCTCAGGGCTGATCTTCCTCACCAAAAAAAAAAGAAAAAAGAAAAGAAAGTGACCTGGGCATTGGGCCTTGAAGGACAAGTAATAGCTCGCTGGACAAAGAGGCGGGGAGGGAACACTGTTTACAAGGGGCAAAGGTGTGAGGGGGTCTTTTGGGGAAAACTTGAGAGCTCAGTGTGATTAGCATGTTTTCAGCCCTGAGCGTGAATCACCAGTGGAGCTTCAAAGAAAACAGAGACGCCTGGGGGCAACCGCATAGATTCAGATTCTGTATTATCTGGAAACTCTGTAAGTGATGCTGATGTCCAGGACTTAGGGTGACTACAGGACTCCCACTACGCCAGCTTTGAGTGCAAGGCGGGATGAAATGACCAGCCAGTAAGGCCCCTCACAGCCTAACATCTGAGCATCCCATATATCACTAAGTCTTATTCCATCCAAGAAGTTTCCAAGGATGGGACCCATGGAGGATAGTGTCTCTCCTGCTACTCCCACCCCACCCCACCATCACCCTAACAGGAGGCATCGAGGACCAAGATCAGTTGGAAAATGATCATCATTCCAGAGAGATGGTCCCTGATGGAGAATCAAATCTCTAACCCTAAGCATCAGGGCCAAGCAGAACCCTGCAGGCTGGGAGAGCTGGCCCTGGCCCCCACGACAGTTAGAATTCATGCCTGCAGATGCTCTCCAGAGAAAAACAGGAAGGCTGCATTTCCAGTGGAGAGAGCAGGTCTGTAGAAGCAGGAGGCCCCTCTGGAACTATGGTTTCACTGCTGGTCGTGAGACTTCAGGCCCGATAAGTAATCTCTCTAGGCTCCTCTGTGTGTAAACTGAGGCTAACAATCCACTCCCACGGTTCTTAGGAGGACCGATAAGACAAAAAGGGAAAATGCCTCACAGGGCGCCTAGCATATAGAAAGCACTCAGTGAACAACAATAATAAACCTGGACACTTATCATTTTGAATGCACTTTAAATTATCCATAAATTGGGAATAATTCATAGGTTTGCAAAATACTATTCTAGAAGGCGGCTGCTCAACGTCCAGCAGGTGAGATTCACTGTTCTTTCTCTGTCCACCTGGTGACCTCTCACCCACTGGGTATTTCTAATTGGATGAAACCCAGAAACCTGATCCCATCTGGCGCCACCATTAGCTGCGAAGTGTCTACCAAATGGCTATTAATAAACTCAGTCTCTGCCTAGGTCAAAACAGGGAAGACAACAACCAGCCAGGTCCTCTTTTCCATTATTTTGAACGGCTTTGAGGTTCAAATCACTTTGTCTTTGGATAAAGAGAATTCACGCAGGAATTTCAACAATACTCTCTTATTGTGGGCTGAAAATGTTTTATGTATTAATTCAGTTTTCTTTTGCCCCCAGCTTGCATGGGGCAGAGGGGACATGATTCCTGCCCATGTGTGTCCTGTCCTGGGTCCCGGTGTGACTGCGCCCCCTAGAGGAGACTTCTGGGCCAGGGCACCATGGCCCAAATGGCGGCAGGTAGATGCTCCCTAGGAAGGGCTGACTTCATGGGGTAGGTGAGGAAGAAGCAGCACCTGAAGCATGTAACAGGGCGTGGAAACAGGCCTCCCCGCACAGCCATACAGAAAGGCTTGGACCACCAATCTGAGGTCTGGAGACTGTTGCTCCACGTTGCTCCAAAAAGAATTCCAGCCTGCGATTCCACAGTGGTTGAGTTGGACATCCAACAGGAGGTTACCTCCTCCAGGGATCCCTGGGGTGACTGTGGAGATGGGGTGGGTGGGGGTTGGCGAGGAGGTGGTTGATGTGAGAAGGGAAAGGGAGCTTGAGAAGGGAGGGCACCACGCTCGCCTTCCTTGCACCTTCGCAAGTTGCCCTATTTTTACTTCATTTATAGGGAGGGCTCTGCATATATTTTCACTGTTAACGAGGGCTCCATGTCAGGGAGTGCAGGAGCTAAAAACCACAGTCAGGCCACAACCTGGGCCGCAGCTGGCACACAGAGCCCCCCTGTGCAGAGGCCACACAAAGAACCCCTCTGGAAGAACAGATTTCAAAAAGGTGTCCCCGCCTCCCGCCCGTCTCAGCCAGCCTCAGTCCCAGAGCCCAGCAGGCTTGCGAGCAGAGCGTAGGTTGGATTTCAACCCCCAGTAGCTGCTGAGCCAGCTCCCTGTGCAGACCACAAACTACAGAACCCGACGCAGCAGCCCTGCCATGCCCTCATTTTACAAAATCACCTGATAAGGCTTGTCTCAGATGCTGCCTCCCTCATGAATAATCGTGAGCTTAGCTGCCTTGGAGTGGGCGCCCGGCGCCTGCAGTTGCACATGAAGAGTCTCGTGTAATCCGCAGACAGCCTTATGGGACAGGCGTCATTGCTCCAAGTTACAGCAGGCCTGCTCCAAGTCACACCACAAGCCTAGAACCCAGACCTCCGGACTCTTCAAACTCTCTGTGTTCCTCTCCTACTGAATACCATTCTCCCTCTAGGGTCTCATTCTCTTCATCCTGGTAACAATGAACTCCTCAAAAGTACAGAGGCAAGCCCCTCCTGTCCCGCCTTGCTTTTCCTGCTGTAGGAGACGTCACATCCTCTGCCCTTGCTGTCCCTGCTGTAGGGGATGTCACATCCTCTGCCCTTGCTGTCCCTGCTGTAGGGGATGTCACATCCTCTGCCCTTGCTGTCCCTGCTGTAGGACATGTCACATCCTTGAGTCCCTGCTACAGACCACCGACCAGGAAGGTCAGCAGTCATGTTCCCGTAACATCCAATAATGCCCTGCTTTCTTGTCAGTTCTGCTTAAATAAAAAGACATTAGGGGCCGGCCCAATGGCTTAGCGGTTGAGTGCGTGCGCTCCGTTGCTGGCGGCCCGGGTTCGGATCCCGGGTGCGCATCGATGCACTGCTTCTCCGGCCATGCTGGGGCCAAGTCCCACGTACAGCAACTAGAAGGATGTGCAGCTATGACATACAGCTATCTACTGGGGCTTTGAGGGGAAAATAAATAAAATCTTTAAAAAAAAAAAAAAAAGACATTAGGTAATTTTATTCAAAACTTTGGTTATTATTTACTTATGTCCTTTATCAAATCCGAAAAGGATCTCAAGCAGCTTAGAAAGAAAAAGATCAAGTAATAGAACTGTTTAAAAACAGATCAAAAGCCATGAAATGGAGCAGGATTTGGGATGATGGGAGGGAACGGAGAGAATTATTCCTGAAATCTAGACTTAGGATAATCCTGCATCTGAGCACTAAACGTAGCTCTGCCCTCTGGCAGCTGGAGCGAACGGGGAAGATGGGTCACAGGGCTCTCTGTGTTTGATAGAAGAACCACCGATTTGTCACCACAGACACACATTCCAGCCACGCACCCTGAGAGGAGTGGATTTATGTGCCCTCGCACCCAGGGGGGAGACAATAACAGAAGGACAGCATCTGACCCCATTGGAGCCTCAGGCTCAGGCATCCTCTAGGTCATTCGCATGGGATGGCTGTGCTCTTTCTGGTGGACGTATGCTCTGCTCATGGCGCCCAGGCTATGGCCATCACCCCAATCCTGTGCCTTTAAGTCAGACCAGCTCACCCACAAAACGCACCACACAGCACCTGTCCAGTGGCCAATATAGACCAGCCTCAGGCATTCTGGAATAACTCACACAGGTCAGACCCTGAGCACCAACCTTTCATACCAGCCTTCCTCTTTCCCAGAGCCTGTCCATCCTAACAGTCTAGCCTTCGTCTCCCATTTCCACTTGGGCCTAACTACAGAGCCATCTCCAGATTGCTCCCAGGCCCACCCACACGGGGTTCCTCCCTCCCCAGGTACAGCCCACCCATACTGGGTGGTGCTGGGGGTGATCACACGGTAAGTGCTAGGACTGGGGTCAGGGGAGCCCCAGCACATAAATGAAGACCAGACTAGGCCAAAGCCCACATCAAATGGTAAGGACCTGGGTGTGCTCACCTCTCCATCCCATTCATTCATCTGTCCCTTCAACAAATGCCAAGCATTTGCTGTGTGCCAGGGGCCAGCCTTGGAATAATTATATAAAAGTTAGCATGTGCCAAGTTCCAAAAGGAAGTTGGTGGTTGAGAATGGAGGCCTCACTCCCTGCTGGGGTTGCAAGGCAAAAGCCAGGCCCCGAAGGATCAGTCGACCACTGAGGGAGCAAGCCCTCCCCCAGGTGAGTGAAAACCACGAAAGAAGAAATGAGGTTGGATAAGCAGACGGGGAGAAAGCTGAAGGAATGAGAGGGGTGAGAGAAGGGAAACAGAGGGAAACATCTGGAAAGAGAAACAAGACCGAGTATATTCCAAACCCAGATGCAAAAAGAAGTTCAAAGTGGTATTTGAATTTGGGTACATTTCCTGCATGGAAGGTCAGGAAACTAGAATTTTAGTCTTAGTTCTATAGACATGACTAGAAAACATGCCTCGTGCCCTCTGGGGGCTCAGTCTCCCCATCTGCAAAATGAGGGCTTGCACCAGGTCTGGAGTTCTTATATTCTGTATTTCAGGAACTGCAGTTACATTTCTAGCCTAGACCTCGTCCCTGGATGCCAGCCTCAAGTAGCCAACCGCCTTCTCAACACGCGTCTCAAGGGTAACTTGTCCAAACTGAGCCCCTGCTCCCCCCGCCCCCAGACAACTCCATCGTCCCAGCTGCTCAGGCTGCACCCTGACTCCTCTCTTCCCACTCCTCGCATCCAACTCGTCATCGCATCCTGTCAGCTCCACCTTCAGAACATCTCCAGAAGCATCTCACCCCCTCCACTGCAACCAGCCTGGTCCAAACCACCATCACCTCCCACTGGGATTATTGCAACGGCCTCCCAACTGGTCCTACTGCTTCTGCCCTGCCAGCCTAGGGCCCAGGAGACTGGTCCCCATAATACGCACGCTCCAAATGCCCCCACGACTTCCCGTCTCACCCAGAGTCAAGGCCAAGGCCCTTACGATGCTCGGCCAGCCCCACCCCTCCCTCGCTCTCTGACAGGATCACCCCCTGTTCTCTCCACTCCAGCCGCACTGGCCTCTTGGCTGTTCCTGACAGCTGCCAAGAGGCTTCAACCTCAGGGCCTGGACACCTCCTGAGCCCTCCGCCCACTCCCTCACCGGCTTCAAGTCTTTGCTCAAATGTCACCTTCTCAGCCAGAACTGCCCTGAACTCTCCATGTAAAGCTGCGTCACCTCGCATCTTGTACCCCCTGTCACCCTCCCCTGCTTTATTTATCTCCATCATCCCCTCTCCATCTGGCTCATGTTTTACTCATTTATCTGCTTGTTCTAGTCTCCTGCCCGAGAATGTGAGCTCCAGGGGCCAGGCATGTTCATCTGTTTTATTCACCGCTCCATCTCCAGTGCCTAGAAGGATGCCTGCCACGTAGTAGAAGCCTAATGAATATTTATTACTAGAATGAATAAATGAATGAAGACAATAATCGTTCATTATTTTTGTTTGGGAGCATGGGTGGTGATGGATATAGGGTTGTCAATTTTCTATCATGAAGTATCAGGAAGGAAGGGAGGGAGGGAGGGAGAAAGGAAAGTGCCGTCTACTGTTACGATCCTTTCGTAAAAGAAAGATACTTTAACCTCCTGAAAATAGGAAGGACATTCTCTCAGGATAAATAATAATCTTGCCCAAGAAAGTCAAGTGGGCGGACTCACATCAACGTATACACTACACGGCACCGTCCTGTTCTCTTCTTTCACTGCGCATCAGTGAAAACTTTGGCATCAAGACCCACCCATCCCCAACCGTCACCCCCCAACCCTCCAGCTCCACGTCACGATGGTTCTTCCTGGAAAAAAACAAGACAGGAGGTCCACGTCCCCCTGGCGGGCCCTGGCTACTGCAGACACGCCTGCTTAGGTCAGAATCACTCTTGGCCCCAGAAAAATGTGGGGGTTCCAGTTCCAGAAGCCGGCTCGGATCCAGGGCCGCCACTCGGACAGCAAGAGCCCGCGTGACACCAGCCTGTGGTTCACAAACTTAACAGTTCACATTGAATTTTCAGTGATTTGCACTTTTCCCACAGCTCCTACTGCATGCGTGCAGCTGCTAAGAGAAAATAAGAAGACTCTATAAACCTCACCTCACTGACCCTCACAATAAGCCAGCAAAGCTGGTTTGCCAGCCCCAATTGCAAAGATGACGAACCAGAGGCCCAGAGAGGCCGAGAGCAGCTCCGTGGGGGTGGAGGGCGAGGCAGCGGGTCAGGCCAGGGCGCACCTGTAGGGGCGCCCCTGCCCCCATCTTCTCTCCTCTGCAGAGCCCGGGAGGCGAGGGTCAGGGGCAAGGAAGTGTGCACCTGTGACTCTCCAAATTGAAAGAGGGTCCAGACCTCTTGTTTTCTTTCTTCCTTCACAGCCGCCTGTTCCCATCCCTCCGGTTCAGCTCCAAGCCCACCTGCCACTTCCTGAGCTGCCTCATCCAATGGCTCCTGGCTCCAGATGTGCAGCTCTCAGGGTCCGGACCTCACCAGATGAAGCACACCTAGTCCAGCCTGTCCTCTCCTGCTTTCTGCCACAGAATTTGGCATTTGAACTGGGCCTCGAAGAATGGGTAGGACTGTGATCAGCTGAGAAAGAGAAGGAATTGCCGGCCTCTGTCCAGGCCTCTGGTCAGCGTTGACAAAGGCGTCCAGGTGGCAAACATACGCTCTGGGCAGTTGGGGCCCAAATTCCAGCCTCCAAGTCTACAGGGGCTGGAGGTGGCAGGTTGGGTCTGGGGTCCTGATGGTCACCTCCCTGGAGACCCGGCTAAGACAATGGCTCAGCGCCTCTGAAGACAGGCACTGGGCTGGGTGGCACAGGGTCACCACAGGAGAAAACAGAGCTGAGAGAAGCAAGGTAAGGCCAGCCTTTGAGTGGCCTTGAATGCCGAGCTAAAACATCCAGAGGAAAACCACACTCAGAACTCTCCTCCATACTGGGACACAGGGGTCTGGATTTGTGCGTTTCCTCCTTAGAGTTCACTAAGACCAAGGGTCCAAGTGTAAACAATCTGATTTCTCTTCACCCTGACATTTAACTGCTATCAGTAACAACAGGCTATCTTTTTTCAGGTTTAGTGCTATTATTAATAATAGTGCTATTATTAATATTTACCAAGTACCTGTGAGTATTATATTATTGGGTATTGTAAGCGCATTTTACAGATGAGCAAACTAAAGCTCCAGGAAAACAAAACTTCTAAGTGGCAAGATTGCGGCTTGAGCCCAGGCGCCACAGCTCCTGTCTCCCCACCCCACCCCACCCCACTGCCCCGGCTTCTCGCTGGGTCCCACCTATTGGCCCCTGACTGCTTGCTTTCTTTCACAGGCCGGGTGCCTGACCAAGATGAGTGTCGCCATGCACGCCCTAGCTAAGGAGTAACAAAATCCCAAATGGCTAGAGGAACAAAACCTGCAGACCTAGCTTGAGGGGAACGCCCTGTCTTCTCACAGCCCAGCCTCCTCTCAGGCTGAGCCCTCGGCCTAGAAGGCTCCACCTCCGTGTGCTCTGTTTATTGAAATCCTACTCTTCTCCAAGGCCTGGCTCCAACACCAGCTTCTCAGAGATGCCTTCCCTGGCCCTGCCAGTTGGAATTCCTCCTCATCTGTGCCCCCGTGAACTTGGCAGCTGGCTGGGTGCAGGCCTACCCACTCACATTCTGCCTTGGCCTCCTGCGGCCGGGACCAGGTCTCACCCAGCTCTCTGTGCCCCACGGGGCTCTGCACGCACTCAGGGCCCCCAGTCTCTGGGGATGGTCGCGGCCAATGCTACAGGTAGATGGTGCCAACTTAACAGGTGCCTCTGAGGGCTCACAGCGCTGCCAGCTGCCCTTTCTCAGCCCCAGGAATGAAAGCACCCCATGATATCTGAGCCACTTTTACCTTTCCGAGAAGCAGCCAGCCCAGCCCCGGGCTCCTGGCCACGGCGGCTGCAGCTCCCGGCTCTCTGTCCTGCTTAGCCAGCTCTCTCGCAGCCTCCTCCTAAGCTTTCCTGCCTTGCAGTCAGACCATCTGGGCATCTGCCTCAATTTCCTGCTTTGTGTTCCTGTTCTTTCTTTTTTTTTTTTGTGAGGAGATCAGCCCTGTGCTAACATCCGCCAGTCCTCCTCTTTTTTCGCTGAGGAAGACGGCCCTGGGCTAACATCTGTGCCCATCTTCCTCCACTTTATATGGGACGCCGCCACAGCATGGCTTGCCAAGCAGTGCGTCGGTGCGCGCCCGGGATCCGAACCAGCGAACCCCGGGCCGCCGCAGCAGAACGCGTGCACTTAACCGCTTGAGCCACCGGGCCGGCCCCTGTGTTCCTGTTCTGCTTTGCGGAAGTCCTCCTCTGGGACCGGCCTTCCTCTGTCCTCCGGGGGCTAGTCCGGTACTCAGCCCCCTGCAGCAGCAGGAGGCCAGCTCTCCCACAGGAGCTGCCTGTTGGGCTCCCAGGATCCTAGCTCTGCAGCCACCCTCTAACACAGCAGGTCAGATTCTTCCAGACACGGGCACAAGCCTGAACCAAGCCCAAGTTCCTGAGCCCCTTCAGACGCTGAGCCTGGGGGTGGACACCCTGCAGGGGCCAGCACCGCCACTCCAGAGTCCAGTAACTGCCCCCGTCTTCTACCATGGAGGCCTGCCTCCCCCAGGGAAGAAAGTCACAGGCACCACACGTGGGGTATCCAGGCCACGGTGGGACAGCACAGGGGCCGTGGAGGATCCAGCATCCAGGGCGGTGCGGGCATTGGAAGAGTTAAGGAATTAAAAGGGACAAGAAGGGGATTTGAAATCCTTCCTGTGTTTTAATTATAATAAGCCTTCGAGGAGATGAAGCTCGGTGTCTGTTTACAAAGTTGCCACGCCCCCGAGCGGTGGGATGATTGGCATTTTATTGTCTTATTTACACTTTGCTGTATAGTCTATATCTTCTATAACGAACATACTGTCATCATCAGGAAAAATAAGTAATAATCAAAAAATAGAAGCAGAAAACAGATATTGTCAGAGCTTCCTCGGGTCACGCATCTGTAGGCACCCAGGACGATGGAACAAGGGCTGTGCTGGCACCAGGAGACCCGGCCTTCTGTCTCCATCTCCCATCAGCCCCCCGAGCTGCTTCACACTTCATAGCCTCAGCTTCCTCAGCTGTCAAATGGGAATGACAGTGTCTGCCTGGGTTGTACAAGAGAACCCATGATAATAAGACCCGCGTATCGAGGCTGCAGAGACGATGGTCACTGCAGTGAACGTGGGGCCTTATGAGAGTGCAGCACGGCCCACGCGGGAGGAGCAGGTGGGCTTCTCAGTCAGCACAGGCTGCTCCATTTAAGAGAGAAATTCCAGGAATGGAAACAAGACACAGCCATCTGAATCCCCAACTAACCACAAAACTGGTCTGTTTTATCAAAGCGTGGGTGGTGTTGATCTGTACAGTGCTCCAGGGGGTAGGCCCCCTTCTGTCCTCAGCTGATGGAGGGAGGGTCATCGGTCAGCCCGAGGTCACTCTTCTGCAAGCATCCGTCAACTCACGAAATCTTTGCCCAAAGGGCCAAGCAGCAAATGGTGGCAGAGGCGGGAGCAGAACCCCAGTCCCCTTTCTCCCTCCGTGCCCCACCTGCATTTCAGCGTGAACACCAACAGCAAGCCCCCAGCAGGGCCTCCTGCCTTGAAGGGAGTAGAGCCGCCCTGAGGATGAATGTGACTCAAGTGACAGGCGACAGGCACTGCGGGAACCAGTGCCAGAGGCTCTGTCTGCCTCAGGCATGCCACACCCCGCACTCTAATTCCTAAAGACACAGAAAGCCCCAGGCGCTGTCTGCTCTCAGGCATGGGGAACCCTCTGGTGCCAACCCAGCCTTCTGCAACTGAGGGTCGGAGGCGGAGTGTCACCGGCTGGCCCTGACACAATTTGCGGCAGTGTTAACGCATTTTCCCCACTGCAGCCAAACCCCCAGTCTTTGAACAAACAGCAAGGCTCGAATTCTAACCAGGCCCTACTCTCCGTACCCACTTCCACT